GCATTGGGGGATAGGGAGATGAAACGCAATCAACAACCAGGGGCCACTTGACCCTGCAGGCAATGCAGAAAGAACAAAGAATTATAAGCAGGTAAGTAAATGACAGATTTGGGTTTTCCATGTGTCAGTCTTTGCTGCTGTGTAACAAATCATCCCCAAACTCAGTGGTTTAAAAACAACCATTGTGTTTGCTCATGATTCTAAGCATCAGCAAGTTGTGTGGTCTTGACTGGGGTCACTCACGCAGTTTGGGTTATTGAACCACTTAGCTGAGGTTAGAAGGTCTTAGCTTGGTGTCCATCACATGTCTCCCATAGCTAGCCTGGGCTTCTTCACATAGCAGTAAAAAAGAGCCAAGGTAACAGTGAAAGCTGCAAGGCCTCTTGAGGCCTAAACTTAGAACTCACACAGCATTCATTCCGCCAAACTTAACTGGTCAAAGCAAATCATACAGTTAGCCCAGATTAAAGGGGTGAGCAAACAGACTGTGTCTTAGTGAAGGAAATGGCAAAGTTACATTGCATTGGGACAGGATGTGACATTTAGTATATGTGCTGCCGAAGGATGTGACATTTAAAACTTAAAATACCAAGTATTAGCAAAGCTGTGAAGCAAAGTACTCTGTATTTGGATTGAATCACCATGATCTATGTGAAGAATCTTGGCTGTGAGAGAGCTCAAATCAGAAGTGCCTAGCAGGATTTTATGCTACTCCGGTCATGTAGTCAAGTCACACGTATATAACCAGTTACACCAGTTGTAAAAGGTCAATAATTAAAATAACCCTGGGAGTCACCAGGGGAACTTCAGATTTAAATAGCACAATAGAAATACCAATACCTTTATCTGGGCTGTTATAGCCATGCCTTCCTGGAAACAAACTCATTCAGAAGGACAATGCAGATAGTGGAGTGCAGTTTATTACACCAGCGGGCCCAAGGCAGAGCCTCCTCTTAGCCAAGGGCCCCGACCAGCATTTGTGAAAATCTTTTATACCCCATGTGTACGTGTCCAAACCCACCAGCCCAAATCCCTTGAGGCTTACAAAGGAAGGGTAAATACAATCACAATAACCCCATCATTCACGTGTTATGTGTTCAAACAGTTAATAATCAATAAGCCAGTGGTTACATTCCAATAGATACTGTCCGGAGGCAGGGGTGATTAGTGTCTGTTTTCTCTTAGGCAATGAGTGACTTGGATGTGATCTTCAAGACTCCCCTGCCCAGATGGGGTCTTATCCTTCCATTGTCATTCCCACAGGCGCTGAGCACAGAGTTCAGAGTCCATTGGAGAGGCGGCCTAGCACGATCAGCACCGACAGGCCTGAGATGGAGTCCAGGCCCTATGAATTCCTTCTTCATTCCCCCCTCTTAATGCTCTTAGTTTCCATAACGAGCATCATTTATTGAGATATATTGTACCTTAGCCCTCCTGCCACCCACATGAGAGAATGCTATCAACCTCTGGGTTACAAAATTCACAAGGCACTGTAGGAAGCAGGGCCCACAAAGCAGTATGATCAAGATTACTATAGCAACAGTTCATTAGGCATGGCTTTCACTTGATTTTGCATATCCTCCAAGGCAGTAAATACATCTTCAGACAGGTCAGGGATGTACACACAACATTTGTGCAAGTCCCTCCTTGGGCTGCTGTGAGTATGTCTAATGCCACCCTATTTTGAATTACTGCCTTCCTCATCTGAATCTGTTCTTCGTTCAAAGCTTGAATGGCTTTAGTACTAAGAGGGCCTGTTTAGTGAAATTAGTTAAGGCCTCTACCTTAACCATGATATCCGTTTTCCCTACAGAGGGTACAAACAAGGCAGCAAGATAGTCATACCACTGGAACACGAATCGTGTCCATCTTGCATGCAGATAAGGCAGGTTTACTGGAGGCTGGTGTAGGCTCGGCTTAATTCTGCCATAGGTGAAAGCAAATCCTAATGTGCAACACCCCACCCAGCCAACAGGTAGCCATGGCCATAAGTTAAGCCCACAAAGCCACTGGGTCCCATTGGGGGCTACCCAGCGGATTCCAGGATTATATTTCCAGTTGGAACCGGGCAACTGAGCAGACTGATTGGGGTGATAGGTAACTTCCAAGATTTGTTTACTATGTTCAGGGGACAAATAACAATTCTTTTGGGTCTAGGGGATGGCCTCCAAATCCAACTTTCTGTTCTTCTTGTTCTCAGCAAATAGTAGCAGGGGAAATCAACTGTCCTTTCTCAGGAGTCATCCAGAAATATTCATCCCAGACCTGGTAGTATTGCTCAAGGTACCGGGAGGCCTGTCCCCCTTTTGTAAGGGAGCCCTTTTCCTCTTTAATTCTCATATATGAGGTGAAGCTTTTGTTATCTCCGTAAGGCTGGTGTTCATGTTAAATGTAACCCTATGTCCCTGGCCCATTGATGGCTTCTTCTTACACAAGGAGAGCAAAGAAAGGTTATGGTTGGTGAGAGAGAGGAAAGTTCCTTTCTGTTGTTAAAGTCCCCATAACGGAGTGGCGATACCCACCAGGGGAGTCTGTCCATTACTGACAAGGGCATAGCCCCACATACCCAAGTTCAGAATTGCATTGGTGAGGCCGAGCAGCAGGAGTCGTTTACCCAGCTCCATCCTGTAGAAGGCTTGTCCGGGACCTTGTTTTCTTCTTCCTCCTCAGAATGATCTTGGTTTCCCATGGGTCAGTGGGGTCCTTCTGGGTGGTGCACTTGGCGTCCTCCGGGTCAGCGTGGTATGCCTCCTTCGCTCTGGTGTGATGGATCAAGGGACAATACCTGCAACTTTAACTGCAGTAGGGGTAGTTAGAATAACATAAGGGCCCTTTCACCAAAGGGCTAGCAAATCATGTTTCCAATCTTTGACCCATACTTGGTCACCAAGTGTAAACTCATGAATCTGTTTCCCAAGGGGGAATGGCACCCTTTCTTGTACAAACTTATCCGATTTATTACCTTACCCAGTTCCATCTGCTGTGAAATCCTATCCCCCCTTACCTGAGGCAAATTTGTTGACACCTGTTTTATTATGGGAGGAGACCTTCCATACACAATTTCATATGGAGAATAGCCTTGGGACTGTGGGGTCATCCTGAGTCTGAGCAGAGCCATTGGAAGCAAGTCCACTCAGGAGCAGTCAGTCTCTCTGATCCACTTGGAGAGTCTCTTTAAGTGTCCGGTTGGTTCATTCCACCATCTTAGAACTCTGGGCCTATATGCAGTGTGCAGTTTAAAGTTTTGCTTACTTGTTATACTAAATCAGCTACAAAAGCCAGGCCATTGCCTGATCCAATGCTGGTAGGAAATCCAAATTTGGGAACCATTTCGCTAAGCAGGCACCGGGCTACTTCTAATGCTCTTTCAGTCCAGTAGGAAAAGCTTTTACCCATCTCAAGAATGCACATACTATGACCAGCAGGTAATGGTAGTGTCGGTGAGGTTTCATTTCAGTGAAGTCCACTCCCAGGTGTTCGAGAGGCAGTGTGCCTTTCAGGTGAATACCCGGAGGTTTTTGTCTGAATACCCAAGAGGCAGCATTAACCTGTGAGCAGGCAGCATGGCCTAGGTGGGTTGCTTGGTGTGTTTGGCTTACCAGAGTGTGTGCCAGCAATTCCCACGATTTCTTTTCAGTCTTGATGTCCCCTTCTACTTTGGAATACCTGAGAGCTGTTGTCCCTGTTTTATCAGGCTAGTGCCATCAGTATATAGGACCCAATTAGGGTCTGGAACCTTGAGCCCTTCTTTAAAACAAACCCCAGATACCTTACCTCCTCTTTGTAGATCTGTACCCTCTTCTTCGACACCAGGTAACCTGCTTCCATCAACAGCTGGAGCAGTGCATTTGTCCCTTTCCAGCATTTTTCCTTGGTCTCAGGCAGCCAGCAGCAGGTCATCCCCATATTGTAGGAGCTGACATCCATACTCTTCCGGATGGAATGAGTCCAGATCAGAAGCCAAGGCTTCCCCAAAGATGGCTGTGGAGTTAGCCTTTGTTATCTGGTGCTCCCGACTGGATCTTCCCATTCAAAGGCAATGATGGGCTGTGACGCTGGGGCGAGGTGTATGCAGAAGAAGGCATCCTTGAGATCTAGGCAAGTGTAAACTTTAGTCCTTGGTGGGAGGAGGCTAAGTAAGTTATAGGGGTTTGGAACAGTGGGGTGTAAAGTCACAGTAGCTTGGTTGACTAGCCTGAGATCTTGTACAGGCCTATAGTCCTGTCCTCCTTCCCTTTTGACTGGCAGGTTTGGCGTATTCCAAGCCGACTGGCACTCTACTAGAATGCCTGCTTCTTTTAATCTATTGATGTGGGGCAATATGCCGGTTCAGGCCTCCATCCATAGCAGGTACTGGCACCCTCTAACCGGGATGGTGCCTGGTTTGATTTCCATTATCACTGGGGCGAGATGTTCAGCCAGCCTGGGGGGAGGGACCTCAGGGAGGTCAGGTTCCTAGACCTCAGGGAACAATTGAGTTAGCTTTCTCATGCTCTTCCGGCCCACCCGGTTCTGCCTTCAGAGGCTCATGCAACCTCCACTCATCTTGGGTTGGCAGTGAGAGAGGGCAAATAAGTCATAGAGTCCATCCAGAAGGTGGGCCTCTCCTCAGGGGAGAAAGTCACCTGTGCTGCTAGTTTGGAGAGCAAGTCTCCTCCTAACAGGGGTACTGGGCACTCAGGAATGTAGAGGAATTCATGAATCACTTGGTGCCCCCCATCTGACATTTTCTGGGCTGGCAAAACGATTTAATCATCTCTTCTCCCGATACCCCAGTTACATCAGTAGTCTTTTTGGACAGTGGTGCTACAGGTTTTGTTACCACCGACAGTTCTACTCCTGTATCCACCATGAAGTCAATGTTTTGTTCCCCTACTTTTAAGGTTACCATGGGCTCTCAGGGACCTGATATCTCTGAGCCCTGGCAGCCCTAGTTAATTTCCAAGTCAGCAAGCCCCAGAACTGCGAGAGCTTCCTTTTCCTTCCTTGCCTTAGGGCATTCATCCTTCCAGTGGCCAAAACCTCGGCACCAGGCACACTGGTTTGGCTGTAACTGGCCCAGGGCCTCCCTTGGGACCAGTTGAAGGACTGTCCTGTCCCTGGGGCAGATGTTTTCCAGAGGGCCCGAGATAGACTTTCCCAGAGCAGCAGCTTGCACTGTCTCTTGTCTGTTCTCTTTCATTCCCTCGGCTCTCTGGCAGAGCGCAGTCTCTGCTTAATTCCAACGTCTCCCTCCCCTTCTTGTCAGTACTCATGGGGAGAGGCGGGTATAGCTTGGGCGATTTGGTTGGAGCCGGATCCTGGAAGTGTTGGCCAGAGGCTTCTGTCACCAGGATCAGAGCCTGCCCAAACGGCGGCTCTGTGAACTCTGGGAAAGCTGGCGGAGGGGCAGTGGCTGTTGCAGAAACTTCACCTGGCCCTGGATCAGGCATTAAGGCGGCCTCCGGTCCTGGTGAAGCACTGGGAGGCAGGCATGTCATTATCCAGCATAGAGGAGGGGTCAGGTCATCCCTGTCCAAAGCCTGTAGAATTTCCTTTTTTATCATCAGTCAATTTTTGTGCCATTAATATTTTTCCCTTTCCCTTCTGGATACAGAACCTTGTCCAAGTAGGAGGGTCTCAAGCTAACCCTAGCCATGAGTCAATAGATGGATATTGATCCAGGTGTCCTGGCTGTCCTGTGACTACTGTGTAGATTGCTTCCACTATTTTTAAGTTCACAGTGTTCTCTGGTGACCATCCTGCTCCCATAGGAGTCCATTCGACCTCACAGAGTATGTGGAGGCAGTTAGGCTTCATCTTCACCCCATAGTCTCCTCCTAATCCCTTCTTTAAAATTTTTGCTCCAATACAGTTGCCTTAGATTCACTTCCCCCCATCTTGCTTACCTTCTCAGACCTTCTTCTACTTTTCCTTTTCGTTCTGTCTATGAAGTTCTCAGTACCCTATGTACTTCTGATATTTCCACTCAGTGACACTTAAATTGCCATTCTGCCTCCTTCCTAATTGGGGTGAAAAGAGCCTTACCTGCCAGACCCCAGCGGGAGAAGAGGGGATTGGCGTGTCTTCACCTGCCGGTCAGCACAGCTGAACCAGAATATCACATGGTCCAAGACTGTTTCTCCCTTAAAGTCCATTCTGCCTTGGTAGGCATGATCAGGTGCGGATGAAAACACAGAAGGGTTAAATATCCCATGTCCCAGGCCATCTCCGGAAAAGCCAATTCATACTCACTTCTGTATCCCCCTCCTTCTAGCCTAACAATTCCAAGGGGGTCAAGAATTTCACAGCAGACAGGACACCTCCTGGGGGAGGGCAGAATACGAGCATACAAGGATCAGTTTCCTATCCTAAAAATCCCCTGGCGATCGCTTGGTAATAATTTTCCCCGAGACGGCATGGACACACCTCCTAAATGACCTTCACAAATTTCCTTCCTAAACCCTAGCACGCTTGTCAACCTGTGTACCAAGCAATCGCCGCCTGCCTATTCCAGGCTCCTGTGGGTCCCCGCTCCTTCTAGTCCCTCCCAGGGGGGTCATCAGGCCCCCTCTTCCACCCTGCTGGGTGGGTCCCTCCTCACCTGAGTGCTCAGTTGCCCTGCTGCCGTCCACTACCTGCTGATGTGAAAGGTCCGGGCGTTGAAAAGCAGAATCATTCCAGAGGGGCGAGGCGCCTTCCCCCCTCTAGGCGATTCATGCTACAAACCCTCGGGGTGGCCTCAAATGAGACCTGTCTCCTCAAAGTGAGGAGTTTCCCGGCCAACGCACCAAATGTTATAGCCATGCTTTCCGGGAAACAAACTCACTCAGAAGGACAATGCAGATAGTGGAGTGCAGTTTATTACACCAGCGGGCCCAAGGCAGTCTCCTTTTAGCCAAGGGCCCCAACCAGCATTTGTGAAAATCTTTTATACCCCATGTGTACGTGTCCAAACCCACCAGCCCAAATCCCTTGAGGCTTACAAAGGAAGGGTAAATACAATCACAATAACCCCATCATTCACGTGTTATGTGTTCGAACAGTTAATAATCAATAAGCCAGTGGTTACATTCCAATAGATACTTTCCGGAGGCAGGGGTGATTAGTGTCTGTTTTCTCTTAGGCAATGAGTGACCTGGATGTGATCTTCAAGACTCCCCTGCCCAGATGGGGTCTTATCCTTCCATTGTCATTCCCACAGGCGCTAAGCACAGAGTTCAGAGTCCATTGGAGAGGCGGCCTAGCACGATCAGCACCGACAGGCCAGAGAGGGAGTCCAGGCCCTATGAATTCCTTCTTCAGGGCCAACAGTGAAAAACCAGACATCCAGATAGATAAACAGAGTTTTTCCAATCCAGCTGTAAATCAACTCTCTTCCATAATGTGAAATTCTAGAATAGGCAAAACTATAGTGACAAAAAGCAGATCAGTGGTTACACAGAACCAGGGATTAGGGAAAGGAATTAAGTGCAAAGGAGCATAAGAAAACATTTTAGGAGATGGAACTGTTTTCTATATTTTGATGGTGATGATGGTTATACTATTATAAGGAATTATCAAATACATTTAAATGGTAATTTAGTACTGATAAATTATATTGTGTGTAAATAATAACAAAAAAGAAGAAACTTTTTAAAGTATCATGCTATATTTAATCTTTGGGACTTAACATTTAGTATTTTATTGCTAAGAATCATTCGTATTGTTATGTGTCACTGTAGTTCACTTGTTTCGAAACCAGTATAATATTCCATTGTGTGACCAGTCCAGTTTATTTGTCCACTCTCTTGCTCGTGGCTATTTGGGTTTGCTTTTGTGACCAGGGCTGCTATGAAAACATTCTTGTATATATCTCCTGATGTACATGTAAGAGTTTCTCTTGGATTTATCCCTAGTATTGTAATGAGTTGTAGGTAAACATTCAATTACAGGAGATAATCAAACTATTTTCCAAAGTAGATCTCTGCTTCAACCCCAACTGCAGGAGACGCTATCCCCTTGAACTATCACTGCTTAGCATTTAATTAGCACCAGGCTGGCTACCCAGGAGGCCAAGGGAAGAAACCCAGGCACCTAAGGTGTCCAAGCCTCAGCAAATACTGAATGTTGAGTAAGCAGCAGGCAGGAACCACACAGCACACATAGAAGCTAATTAGAGTCCTACTCCCTGGAGCTCCATCTTCCTAGCTTTACTTGATTTTGAGTCTGAAAGATCTTTCAGGGCCCTCAGTTATGATGTAAATTCCAAGAAAGGAAAGGCTTAACCTCATCTAAAATCCTTCTCAGCTGACACCTCTAATACCCAAACAAGGATTAGCAGGAAAGGCTTAAAGAACAAAAGGAGAGACAGAAAGAGGAAGAGAAGGGTTAAGCAAAGTAGGAAGAATCCTCTTCCATGCAAGAAGCAGTTTTTCAGAAAAAAAATTTAATAAAAAAGTAGTATCTGCAAGTGACCATAAGCAATTTTTAATATCCCTACCTTTAAAGAACTGCCTTCTTTGTGCTAAAGTTACAAAAACAACACAACTAACAGTCAGGCATTCAGTTCAGTCGCTCAGTCGTGTCCGACCCTTTGCAACCCCATGAATCGCAGCATGCCAGGCCTCCCTGTCCATCACCAACTCCCGGAGTCTACCCAAACCCATGTCCATCGAGTCGGTAATGCCATCCAGCCATCTCATCCTCTGCTGTCCCCTTCTCCTCCTGCCCCCAATCCTTCCCAGCATTAGGGTCTTTCCCAATGAGTCAAGTCTTCTCATGAGGTGGCCAAAGTATTGGAGCTTCAGCTTCAACATCGGTCCTTCCAATGGACACCCAGGACTGATCTCCTTTAGGATGGACTGGTTGGATCTTCTTGCAGTCCAAGGGACTCTCAAGAGTCTTCTCCAACACCACAGTTCAAAAGCATCAATTCAATATTGCTCCAAATACATACTTTGTGAGGTGAGAGCCTGTGATGCTGGGAGAAGAGCTCTGAGGGATTTGAGGCTTAGCCAGAGAACTAGCAACAAAGCTCAGTCATGCACCAGGAACAAGAAAAAAACAAAAAAAAACCCTGAAGATAACAAAATAAGACATTAGGCAATTCCTAGGTGCTCAGAGAGCTGCCATTCTGAAAAATGAAGAGGCCTCATTTTCTCCCACAGTCCCAAACACCACATCCCCAGCAGTTCCCTGGTCACCTGTCATACAGGAGCTCAAGGAATACTTACTAGAGGAGTGAACAAGGGAAGAAATACACAACAGAATATCACAGCCCTGTGGCAGAAGCAGCTTCCCAGCCACATTTGGGCAACAGAGCTGTTGACAGTAGGAGGATGCCTGGAATTATTTGCCTCTGGAGAGCTTTCTTAATGTAAGTAAGCAGATTATAATGCACTGGGTTAACATTTTCAGTTACTCATTCCTGAAATCAGATCATGGGCCACATGGAGAAACTTGGCAGGCTTGTGTAGGCCCTTCAACTGCTCAAGACTTATCATGCAAAAGTCATCTCAAGTGTGAGAAGGGTTCAGTAACCAGAGGCCTGTAACCAGGCTGAGGTCCTGGACTCTGGGTACCTGAGAGTTAGTGCTCATTAGCAGCATCTGGTACAAGAGGAACTAACAAAACTTGGACTGACATGAGACCACCCCCAACTTCAGCCCCAGCTCCATGGAGCTTCAACAATTTTATTGGCTAAACACTTCTTCCCAAGTTTACAGCATCACTGGTTCCTCCTCCTAAACCCCTAGTGGGGCAGGAACCTTTAGCACAGGCTCAAAGATGGGGAGCGGGGATTGGAAGTGGGATGTAATAAGTGAGTTAGAAACCTGCTGATGCTCCACAATTGGACAGCAGGACAGAAAAACTCCTATTTCCTACTGCTGAAAACCATCTATAGAAAGACTTGAATGGGATGGAGATTAACCACTGGTCTCCACAAGAGTACACCCAGTCTTCCTACACCAGAACTTCAGGAACAGGGCAATGCTACGTCATTCTACACATTTTGCAAAAGTACATAGGCCCAAAATTGGCCATGAGGTTTGGGATTACCAGCTCCCCAACTTGGCAGGATGGGAAGAAAGAAAATGTGTTCATGAAAAGCTTTCGGAAGTGAGTCAAGTCTTCCACCTGAACCTTGATGCTGTATTGATTGTCCAGGAGCTCGATGGCACCTTGCACCACATACTCATTCTGTAAGTGTGAAAGTGAGCAGGTGGAATAGACAACGTGGCCTCCTGGTTTGGTGGCAAGGAGTCCAGCCCTGTAATCAGAGAGAGAGAGAGTGGTAGTAACTAATGAGCTTCGCAGAAGCAGAAGGGCAACAGAAGAAGCTGGAAGGACTGGGGAGCCAGTTGTGGGATGGGTGACTGTGTTAGCCTCTGCATGCCTTCCACAGTGACATCATCTGAAAAGCTGTTCTCAAAGCAGAGAGCAACCTAACCTTACTCCAAGGGTTCTCCTCCAGAAGCTGTCTTGAAACAGTCACCTGATCTTTGACTCCAGTTATAGACCAAACACTGATACTGGCTATACAGATATAGACCAAACACTGAACCGAGTTCTTATCCCAGCGGTACAGAGCCTTGACCTCAGTATATATTTCAAAATTGTGTTAATCTTTGACATGGGGTTAAGGGTTAGCCTGGAGGTAAAAGTGAATCTGTGCAGTCCATCCTGCTATGTATTTCTACCACACAGAGTTTTTATGTCCCAGAGGAAGACCATCCTGTGATGTTTGTCTCCTTCAGACAGATTCCCAAACGGAAAACCCTTCTATGGGCGATGGTCTTGGCAACAGCTTCTAGCAACCCAGATTCCCAGATCACTCTTTCCCAAAGTCCTGAGTTTTTGTAAATCTGTTACTCACGCAAGAAGCTGCACCTGCAACATAGGCAACATCTGCCGCTCCTTCTTCCTCGAACGCTGAAAGATGTTGTTTTCCTCCTCATGAAGGGAGTGGCGGTCTGTGGTACAAGGCACATCCACTAGCACCTGCCCAGAAGTGTAAAAGATCAAGTATTAGAGCTCTTTACAGGCTCCTTTTCCTTAGGTCAGGGCTATTTTAGTCCCTTGACCTGGAGGATTCTGCAGAGTGCTCCTTTGGCTCATCCCCCAACTGCAGAGTACCTGATAAAGCTTCTCACTTTAACCTGGTGGACAACTGTGAAATAAAGAGTGGGAAAATAGTACATCTAGGCATACTTATGGCTGGTCAAAAAACCAAAACCAACATATAAATAATTGTAATTAAATAATTGATATCAACCTAAAAAGAAGTCTTCAGTGTTTCAGAGCTCTGTCCTTGACTCTATACCTAGCTATTTGAATGAAAACATCCAATTTACAGATGACATAATGCCCAAAGGGTAGCTAATACACTGAGTAACAGGATCAGGATTCAAAATTATCTTATTCTAAAACAATGTCATATTCAACGTGGAAAAGTTTTATTTTTTTTTTCCATTTATTTTTATTAGTTGGAGGCTAATTATCAATGTGGAAAAGTTTTAAAGTGAGAGATGCAAAGTCATTCACTTATTGGGGAATTCCCCAGCGGTCCAGTGGTTAGGACTCCCCACTTTCTCTGCTGAGGGCCTGGGTTCAATCCCTGGTCAGGGAACCAAGATCCCACAAGTCACACAGCACAGCCAAAAATAAAGTCATGCATTTATTTATTAAAAGCCTACTCTGATGGGCAGCAAAACAAAACAAAAAGAGCCCTCACCTCCCCCAAAAAACCAGTCCTATATTTACATTTCAAAAAAAGTAAAAATTATCTATGGAAAAGATCTGTAAATTTTTAGTTAAGCAGAAATTCCATGTAAATTAGTAATGACCCAGGGTTCAATATTCTGATGCATTCTTTGGCTACATGAATTGATATAGCACATACAGAGTAAGATAAATGATTACCTTGTACACTGGTCAGGTCATATCTCAAGAAATGTGATGGGACTAGCGTTCAGAAAAAGAGACATTAATTAAATAAGAACGCTCAGAGAAGGGATAGGAAAGCTCAGAGAAGGGTCACTGGGATGTTTAGAAACCATATGACAATACCCTCTGTTTCCTGAAACCCTTGTAATACAAAATACCTAAAAAGGATAGATAAAATACATTTTAAAAATAGTCAATATTTTAAAATGCGTAGCTCAAAGAAAATTAGAAAAATCTGCAGAAGCCAAAGAAAAATCAGGAGTACAAATCCAAGGAGGCATTCCAGAGCTGAAGCTGATGGCTTCTTTTTTTTTTCCAATTTGAAGTATAGTTGATTTATAACATTGTGTTAGTTTCTGTTAAACAGCAAAGAGATTCAGTAAAAAAATATATATATATATATATTATTTTTCAGATTCTTTTCTATTATAGTATAAGATATTGAATATAGTTCCCTGTGCTATATAGTAGGACCTTGTTCCTTTTTTCTTTTGGCTGTGCTGTGTGGCTTGTGGGTGCTCAGTTCCCTAACCAGGGATTCAACCCAGGCCACAGCAGTGAAAGCCCAGAATTCTAACCACTAGGCAACCAGGGAACTCCCAGGACCTTGTTTATCTATTTCACATACAGTAGTTTGCATCCACTAGTCCCACACTCCTAATTTATCCCATCCCTTTCTCCTTTGGTAACCATAACTTTGTTTTCTATACCCGTGAATCTGTTTCCATCTTGTAAATAAGTTCATTTGTATCTTTTTTTATTAGATTCCACTTGTAAGAGATTTGTCTTTCTCTGAGTTACTTCACTTAGTATGATAATCTCTAGGTTCATCCATGTTGCTGCAAACATCACTATTTCATTCTTTTTTATGGCTGAGGCATATTCCATTTAATATATGTATCACATCTTCTTTATCCACTCATCTGTCAATAGACATTTAGGTTGCTTCCAAGTCTCTGCTCTTGTAAATAATGCTGCTAATTATAGTTTTGTCTGGACAAACGTCCAGGAGTGGGATAGTTGGATCCCATGACAACTCTACTTTTAGTTTTTTGAGAAACCTCCATACTGTCTTCTATAATGGCTGCACCAATTTATATTCCCACCAACCATGTAAGAAGGTTCTCTTCTCCACAACCTATCCAGAATTTATTATTTATAGACAATTTTTTTTTAATCTTTTTGGCCATGCCACACAGCATGTGGGATCTTAGTTCCCTGACCAGGGATCAAATCCGCACTCTGTGCATTGGCAGAGTGGAGTCTTAACCACTGGACCACCAGGGAAGTCTCAATTATTTGTAGACTTTTTGATAATGGCCATTCTGACCAGTGTGAAGTCACATTATAGTTTTGATTTGCATTTTCTAAAAATTAGCAATGTTGGGCATTTTTCCATATGCCTGTTGGCAGGATTAAAATTATCTAATGTAGAATTAAAATAAACCTCCTAAATAAAAAAAATTTAAGAGATTACACAGTGAAATAAACAGTAAGTAAAACAAACAGAGTAAATACTTTGACAGAGCCAAAACCAAATATATCAGGGACATCAATTGTTTTAAAAGAGAAAAATTTACAGATTGGTTCAAAAAACAAAATCCAATTCTAGGGAGTATATGAGAGACATATCTAAAGGGTAGTTATTTAACAAGGCTAAATATAAAGAGATTGGAAAAGGTATAACTGCAACATATATAAAAGGAAAGCTGTTAAGTGGGAAGATGGGTAGGTATCCTGCCATGAAAATGCAGAGCTCTGGCACTCCAGCTGATGGCCAAGTAGAGCTCTGGGAGAAATGAAATTACCAAGAGTGTATGGAGTCCTGAGATAGTATTCTTCTTTGAATCTGAAGTGCTTAACACTTGCCTAACACAGTATGTAGTACACAACTATTTGATCAACAAATAAATTAACAAAGACATCTTCAGGACATTAAAGCTGTTTTCAAACATCTGAAGCACTTCCACATGAAATGGGAGGCAGCGCATTGTAATAGAAGGCATAGTTGGAATCAATGAATGGAAATAATAAAAATAAAAGGGACTGTGATGATGACAATATTATTAAATGCTTTCTATATGCCAGGAGCATTCTACATGCATTCCTATCACCTATGGGATAGGCATTAATATTATCCTTACTTTACAGAGGAAGAAACTGAAGCTTAAACTGAAAGATTAACTTCTCTGCCTGATAAGTGATGGAGCCAGGATTCCAAACCAAGCAGTCTGACACTAGAATCCTTGAACTCAGCCATATACCATAAAATCTAGAGATTTTAATTCAGTAGGAGAAAGAATTTTTTCTAATAACAAAGGTGTTCAACCACAAAACCTGAGTGAGCCCCTGTTACTGAAAGTATGCAAGCACAGGCTGAATAATGATGATGGCTACTACCTGCCTAATCTTCATGGCCAGCTGATGTACTGAGCACTTTCCCTGGATATGCTCATTATTAATCCTCATAATAATCATTTCCTATTTTACAAACAAAGAGGCTGAAGTTCACCAAGATCAAGCAGCTGTCTCAAGGTCAGTAAGTGGCACCTCTGTGATACAAAAACAAGTTAGGTCAACAGCAGAGGTCACGCTCCCTCTACTCTGCTGCCTGTGTGCCAAAAAGGCTGAATAGGGGATTCCTACACAGATGGGAAGCAGGTCTCTCAAGCTATCCAAGATTCTATAAGCCTTGGTCTTTCTTTCGATGTCTTAGAGTGGCTGAGGCAAGATGGTAAGAACTGAACAGAAGAGAAAAATGTGTCAGATGACAACACAAAGGCAATAGCTACATATATTTTATATTTTTAGAAGTATGTGTTTTAAATAAATATTTTTAGAATGTGCTGATTAGAAAATACAGGGAACTCTCCTCCACTGTTGGTGGGAATGTAAATCAGTGCAGCCACTATGGAGAATAGTATGGAGGTTCCTCAAAAAACTAAAAACAGAACTACTGCGTGTGTGTGTGTGTGTGTGTGTGTGTGTGTACTCAGTCGCTCAGTTGCATCCAACTCTTTGTGACCCCATGGACTGTAGCCCACCAGGCTCCTCTATCCATGAGATTTTCCAGGCAAGAATACTGGAGTGGGTTGCCATTTACTTCTCCAGGGGAACTTCCCAACCCAGGGATTGAACCCACCTCTCCTTTATCTCCAACACTGGCAGGCAGATTCTTTATCACTGAGCCAGCTGGGAAGCAGAACTACCATATGACCCAGCAATCCCACTCCTGGGCATATAACCAGAGAAAACCATGATTCAAAAGATACACGCATTCCAATGTTCATTGTAGCACTATTTACAACAGGCAAGACACTGAAGCAACCTAAATGTCTATCAACGAAGGAATAGATAAAGATGTTGTACATATATACTGTTATTGTTGTTTAATTGCTAAGGCATATCAGACTCTCTTGCAACCCCATGGACTGTAGCCTGCCAGGCTCCTCTATCCATGGAATTTCCCAGACAAGACTACTGGAGTGGGTTGCCATTTCCTTCTCCAGGGGATCTTCCCGACCCAGGGATCGAACCCTCCTCTCCTGCACTGCAGGCAGATTCTTTACTGCGGAGCTGCCTGGGAAGCCCACATGAACAAGAGAGTGGGTTGCCATGCCCTCCTCCAGGGGAACCTTCCCACACGTATTAATACAATGGAACGTTATTCAGCCATAAAAAGGAATGAAACTGTGCCATTTGCAGAGATGTAGATAGACCTAGAGACTGTCATATAGAGTGAAGTAAGTCAGAAAGAGAAAAACAAATAAAATATCACTTACACGTGGAATCTACAAAAATGATATGGAAGAACTTCCCTGCAAAGCAGAGAGACACAGGTGCAGAGAATAAACTTACGGATACCAAGAAGGGAAGGGAAAGTGAAAGTCGCTCAGTCGTGTCCGACTCTTTGCAACCCCATAGACTATACAGTGCATGGAATTCTCCAGGCTAGAATACTGGAGTGGGAGATCTTCTCCAGGAGATCTTCCCAACCCAAGAATCGAACCAAGGTCTCCCACATTGTAGGCGGATTCTTTACCAGCTGAGCCACAAGGGAAGCCCAAGAATACTGAAGTGAGTAGCCTATCCCTTCTCCAGCGGATCTTCCCGCCCCAGGAATCCAACTGGTGTCTCCTGCACTGGCAGATTCTTTACCAACTGACTATCAGGGAGGTCCCGGAGGGAAGTGGGGGTGGAATAAACTGGGAGACTGGGATTGACATATATATACTACTATGTATAAAACAGATAACTAATAAGAACCTACTGTAAAGCACATGAAACTCTACTTAAGGGTATGTGGTAACCTAAAAGGGAAGGAAATCTAAAAAATCTAAAAAAGAGGGGATACACATAACTGACTCACCACGCTGTAAAGCAGAAACTAACACAACACTGTAAAGCAACTATACTCTAATAAAAACAAATAAGAATTTAAAAAATAATAAAAGAAAATACAAATAACTTAAAGATGTAAAATTACTTTCCTCTTCATTCATAACAAAAATGTAATTAGATGCTTCAGTTTGGCAAAAACCAAAAAGTTGGACAACTCGAGGAAACAGTGCCCTTATTCATTACCAGTAGAAGTGAAACTGACTTAGCCTTCACGGGGAGTGATTCAGTAACCTCTGTCAATATTCTAAGTACATATTAACTGTTATCCAGCAATCATACCCCAAAAACAAAACCAAAAATTTGACTACAGGGCATATTATTAACTAAAAAAAATATATAAACTTCAGAATAGTAAGCATAATACACTACCATTCCTATTATTTTTTATATACACATTTATATTTGTATATACACACAAAAAATATTTTAAGGGGATACAGAAGAAAATATAGACAATATGTAGGGAGAGGAAGTAGACAGCTGTGAGGCAGAATTAAGAAGGAAACATACTTTTCTCCAGATACCATATTGAGCCTTCTGCATTTTACATCATGTACTGTATTAATATTCAAAACTAAATAAAATGAGCTTAATCATACTCACTTTAATGAGGGTTACTCTGCAGCCAAGTGAGTAGTGAAATAAAATAAGCCTAATTAATTTTTTTCCAGCCAGACAGGTTCAAACTCTTTTTGTTCCCTCTAATCAAGATAGTAGGCAGTCATCTAAGCTGAACTGACGGTTCTGCAGATGGCTGTTTTCACCACATCACCCAAGGAGAGAGTTGGCCAGGTCCACAATCAGCCCTACATCTTCAAATACATATGGCTAGATCCTACCTGCTCAGGGCCTAGCACCAGGAGGGAATGTCAGGTTTGGCTAGCTGGATGTCCCAGGTCAGGAATCACTCACCCGGTCATAGGTGTCCCCCTCCAATTCTCCCCACTTCCTGCCATCCCATGATGTGACTCGAACTCGATTCTTATCCCTGACATCTTGAGGCACATAGTTGTCAAGGACCCTCTGTAGCCTGCTCGTTCGTGATGTGGAGAGATCATTGGCAGCAAGATTGCCTGTGGGAGTATAAATTTTTAGAATTGTTTTTTTCTACTTCTGTAAAAAAACGCCGTTGGACTCTTGACAGGAATTGCACTGAATCTATAGACATTCTGGGTAGTAGGAACATTTTATGCCTGCAGGAATAAAGAAACTTCAGAGGCCATTGCACAACGAAGCATCCCACCAGCAATGGTGCTGATGGAGAGTCAGACAAATTCTCAGGCATAGCCAATCAATGCAGACCCCCCAGGCAGGGGCAGGTGGAGGAGAAACATTTATTATATGCAAAGCACAGTACTAGACACTCTGGAGTGGGGGCTGCAAAGGCAACACCAACTTAACCCAGAAAGGTTATATAAATAAACAAAGCAGACTAGGTTAAAACATTTATTTCTTTAAAAAATATGCTCTCACCTTTCTTGAAATATGCATTTCTCTTCATCTTTGGTAGATACTACATATTATTTACCCCTAATTTAAATTCTACTCTTATTCCTTAGTATGGGCTTCCCCAGTGGCTCAGCTATAAAGAATCTACCTGCAATGCAGGACACGTAGAGACATGGGTTCAATCCTTGGGTCAGGAAGATCCCTTGGAGAAAAAAATGGCAACCTACTTCAGTATTCTGGCCTCGAAAATTCCATGGACAGAGGAGCCTGAAGGGCTACAGTCCATGAGGGAAAAAAGAGTCAGACCTGACTGAGCAACTAAACAACAATTCCTTAGTAACAGAACTCCAATTTTATTTGAGAGAGAGGGGCGCAATATTCCCCAAAAGACTAAATTTCCCAGCCTCCTTTTTCAACTAAGTAAAACTATAAGACTAAGTTCTGGTCAGTGAGTTGTAGGCAGAATTATTGTGTGGGACTTCTGGGAAGATGTTTAAAAGAAGCTGATACAGGGCTTCCCTTGTGGCTCAGTGGTAAAGAATCCACCTGCCATGCAGGAGACATGGGTTTAATCCCTGGTCCAGGAAGATCCCACATGCCATGGAGAAGCTAAGCCCCTGCTCCACAACTACTGAACCTGTGCTCTAGAGTCCAGAAGCCGCAACTACTAATACGACAGGCCACAACTACTGAAGCTTGTGTGCCCTAGAGCCCGTGCTGTGCAATAGGATAAGCCACCGCAATGAGAAGCCTACATACCACAACTGGAGAATAGCCCCTGCTCGCTGCAACTAGAGAAAAGCCCATGTAGCAACAAAGATCCAGCACAGCCCAAAATAAATAAAAATTATATATAAAAAACAGAAGTTGATACAGGGACTTTCCTGGTGGTCCAGTAGTTAGGATTCTACCTGCCAATGCAGGGGACACGGGTTTGATCCCTCATCTGAGAAGATGCTGAGGGGCAACTAAGCCCATGTGCCACAATTACCGAAGCCCACGCGCCCCAGAGCCCGTGCTCAACAAGAGAAGCCACTCCGATAAGAAGCCCATGCACCACAACTAGAGAGCAGCGCCCTGCTTGTGGCAATGAGAGAAAACCCACACAGCAGTAAAGATCCAGGATAGTCAAAAATAAATTTTAAAAATTAAAAATAAATAAATAAAACGAAGCTGATACAATCAGGAGATGCGCCCCTTTTGTCCACGCTTTTCTTCCTGCCTGGAACTTGACTGTAATGATTGGAATTCCAGTAGTCAAGCAGTCATGTTGGAGGCATGAGGCAATCCTGAGGATGGAAGACAGCAATAAAATAGGTTGCAAAAACAAAGAAGAAACCCTGATAACTGTGGAGCCTCCATGCCAGTCCTGGACTGCCTATATTCCAGCTCTCTTACGTAAGAGAAAAATAAACATTTCTTCTTTAAGTCAGTTAGCTAACTTTTCTATTGTATACAACCAAGCTTAATCCTGAATGATTCACCACCTAGCTTTAATTTTCCCTTTTGTGATAGACACGAGTTTAAGAAATATTTCACTTCACTCTTGGCTCTAAGAAAAATACTACTGTGAGCATAATGATAAATGGCAATTGATACCTGGCCCCGGAGTCAAGGAATGAAAGAGAGCAGTGGGCACTGCGGTGAAGAATTAGAGAGTACATACTTTTATCTAGTGAGTGAACCACTTTAGTTTCCCCACAAAGAAATATGTCCTAATTTTTGAGGGCACTCAAAGAAGTCAAAATTGGATTCTCTGCTCAAGAGGAATTTGCAGCAGGATATCAATTGAGAAGAGAAAATCTGGGTTCCAGTTCTGGACCTATCTCTAACTCCTTTAGAAAAGCAACTCTCAATTACTTCTCTTTGGCCCTTCTTCCTCTTCTGAGTTCCAGTTCCTCCTCATCCAAGAAACTCCACCTTATCCATTCCCCCTTCTGATGGATTCTCACAGCACTCAGTCAGATCAGCATAGCCCAGCTTAGGGTGATTGAACCCATTAAGCCATATCAACATTTCTTCATTCCCTCTGGACTTACAGAATGTAGAAATCAAATATAGTATCTCTCTGAACAACCTGTAGGGCCTACCTTGAGGCTGGAAGCTAATTCAAACTGTGCAAGTTGACTGATAAGAACTGGAAAAGAAGGGTCCAGGTCCAGGAAAAAAGGCTATGGCAAGAGAAGCCTGGCTGAGCTCCATGGTATCACAGCCATCCCCACCCTTCTGGCTTTCCTGGTGGTCCAGTGGTTAAGAATTTGCCTGCCAATGCAGGGGTCATGGGGTGAAGATTCCACATGCTGCGGGGCAACTATGCCTGTGTACCACAACTACTGAGCCCATGAACCCAAGAGCCTATGCTCTGTGACCAGAAATGTCACTGCAACGAAAATCTTGAGCACAGCAACAAGCGAGTAGACCCCAGTTGCCACAACTGGAAAAAGTCCATGCACAGCAACAAAGACCCAGCACAGCCAAGAATGAATGAATGAATAAATAAAAATCACAGCCTCCTTGTGAATCTTTCTCAAGATAAAAATACTTCTTATATTAAGGCAGGATGTCAGCAAATGGATGGCTGAAATGAACATTTACAATGAACAAGGCCCAGGCTGAGCTATACTACTGAGTAAGTCTTAGGCCTGTCCTCAAGGAACTCCTTATCTTGGGGAGAAAGAACATGTATACCCATTATCCTCTGATGCAAGGCTAATGTACTAACTGTTTCAAGGGTGATGCCCAGGGTGTGAGGGCACAGGAGACGGAGGACACACTTCGCAGCTGGCCAGCAGAGATCATGAGAGAAGACTTCCAGGAGGTGGCACACTTGAGCTGAGGCTTGAGAGCTAAGAGGGTGATAGGATGGGGGTATTCCAGAGAGAATCTGTAACACCAGCCCTCTGACTTACGGCAACAGCCAGTCTGAAGCAATGCTAATGTCTTTCCCCCAGGGGCTGCACACAGGTCAAGCACGGTGTCACCAGGCTGCAGGCCAAGGGCCAGGACAGGCAGCAAGGATGCAGCATCCATCAGGTAGTAATCCATGAGACCCAGGCTGCCACGCCTAGAAGAGAAGAGACCACCTTAGAGTGAAAAGCCAAAGTCAGGAGACCCACTGGAAGTCAAGGTCTCAAGTCCATACCCTCAGGGATTACTGAGCTCTATGTAGCAAAAACTCATTTCTCTGACCCACCCTCAGTTATGTACTCACTCACTCATTCATCTACATAACATTCAGGGCAGCCTTTTAAAACAGAAATGAACTCACCTGATTCCAGCCACACTACTCATCTTGCTATTCCTTAATTAAGCCATGCATACTCCTATTTTGTAGTTGTTCTGCTTTCTGCATGCAGCATACATCCTTCAAATATACCTCATTTGCTTCCTCACTTCTTTCAGATCCTCCATGAAAGTTACCTCACCAAAGAGGCACTGGTATGCCCTGACCACTCTATCTGAAAATAGCAGCCCCCTACTCCCATCTATCTATCTTTAAAGTACTTATTATTCACTTTGTTAAGTATAGGTGTGTGTGTGTGTGTATTTTTCTCCTTCTCTCTCTCCCTATTAGAGTGAAGGTAGAGACTTTGTCTTGCTTTGTTCATTATAACATCTCCAACACCCGAAACAGTGAATGGAATATGGTAGGAACTCAGTTTTATTAGGTTACATATTGAGATACAAAGTTCTTTCTGGGTTCAGAAAAGAATGCCATTCATTGTGCCTGTCAGAGTTAAAATTATCTGACTTAGGTTTGGATGAAGGAATGGACTTTCATTAGGTTAAAAAAAAGGGAGTGGGGTGGGGAAGAGGCGCATTCTGAGCAGAAGAAAAAAAAAAAAATCAAAGGCACAGAACCAAACACATAGCTTCTTTCAGACATGGTGAGAAATCTGGTGTGTTAGAAATACAAGGAGATCCAACCAGTCCATCCTAAAAGAGATCAGTCCTGGGTATTCACTGGAAGGACTGATGTTGAAGCTGACACTCCAATACTTTGGCCACCTGATGTGAAGGGCTGACTCATTGGAAAAGACCCTGATGCTGGGAAAGACTGAGGGCAGGAGAAGAAGGGGACGGGATGACAGAGGATGAGATGGTTAGATGGCATCACCGACTCAATGGACATGAATTTGGGTAAACTCCGGGAGTTGGTGATGGACAGGGAGGCCTGGCGTGATGCGGTTCATTGGGTCGCAAAGAGTCAGACACGACTGAGCGACTGAACTGAACTGAGAAATACAAGGTACATGAGATTGAAGTTGGGAAGCAGTTAGAGGCCAAGGTTGTAACATATCGAGTTTGGACTATAACCTGTAGGCAGTTACCAAAAATTTTTAATTTTAATCTCACTCAGCTAGTGAGAGTTTTAGAAAGCCAGGTAGGCTAGAAAGAACAAATTAGAAACAGAGACACCAGTGAAAAGACTGTTACGAGAGTCCAAGTGAGAGCTAGTGACACACAGATAGAGGCAGCAATCATTAGGGTAGAGGGGGACGACAACAACAGAACAGTCACAGAAGGACTCCTCACTCCCAGTTGTCATAAGGGCAACTGCGGTGCAGCCATTCAGCCTGAGACACAGTCCAGCACGAACAGCCTTTGGGGACAGTCTCAAGGAGAGAGAAAACTTGGTCCTTGCTGCCCTGACAGGAAGGCTCTGGGAGAAAGATGTGACAAGACGTAAGACACAGCACCACTGAGGATCAGCTACAAGAACTACAATCCTTTCACACTTGAATTGTCTGTGAAACTGTGTGCCTTGTACCTCACAAAGGAGAAAGATGAGAAATCACAGAAAAATATAGAATTGCTATCATAGCAGTACTGGCTCACAAAACCCATTCTTATCAAGTTCCTTCCTTTTATTAATTTATTTTTTTTAAGTTCCTTTCCTTAAGAAGCATTACTCAACCTTTTTTTGGGGGGGGCGGTTCATAGTTTTGAGAATTGGTTAAAAGTTACAATATCTCTTTTCAAAAAAAAGGCACAGTATACTTATAGCTGATTCACATTGTTGTATGGCAGCAACCAACACAACATTGTAAAGCAATTATCCTGCAATTAAAATTTTAAAAAGAAAAACAAAACAACTTTTCAATTTCTGGAGGTTCCTGGACTCCCTGAATACATTTTTTAACTTCCCAGAGGTTAAGATCCCCTTGATTTATAGGGAATCCATCAAGACAAGAAGGAAAAAACTCAAATACAGAGAGCTGCTTTCCCCCTACTCTCAGGGTGTCCTCAGGCAACTAAGGAAACCACATGGTCTTACTCCATGGATCTGCCGAAGGCCAGGGCCTCCAAATTGGCCTCTAACCCTGCTCCAATCTATCCCCTCCTTACTGTGACTAAATGATCTTCCTGAAACACAACTTTGATGGCAATAACATCAACAGTAAGAGATACTACGTATGAGTGTTATATTGCAGGGACTATACTGGGTTTTTAATATGCATCATTTGATTTAATTCTTACCACAACTCTATGAGGCAGGAGAACTCAGATTCTAGAGCCAGACTACCTGGATCTCAAATCCAGCCCACCTGCTCATCAGTTGTGTGACCTTCAGCAAATTATTCAACTTCTCTGTACCTCAGTTTCCTCATCTGTAATGAGTATGTACCAGATAGGATTAGTGTGATGAAACAAATTAACAGAAGTCAAATGCTTAAAACAGTATCTGGCACATAGTGAGCTATACTGTCAGCTATCACTATCATTACTTTCCAAGTTATCTTCCTGATAACGAAACCAAGGCTCAGGTATCCAATGCCACCTGTCTTTTTTTTTTTTTTTTTTTGGTTGCACTTCATAGCATGGGGAACTTCTCCAACCAGGGATCCAGGGATCAACATGGCGGCCCGTGCAATGAAAGTTTGGAGCCTTAACCATTGGACCACCAGCGAAGCCCCATATTATCTAATATCAATAAGTGGTAAAGACAGGATTCAAATCTAGGTTCCCTTAACTCCAAAGCCCATGCTTATAACAACTCTGTTATTCCTTTCCTCTGCTCTGAACCCCTCTTCAGTGGTTCTCTAGAACACATACTGGCCATTTACAGCAATATATACTAAAAGGCACACAGTATGAAGCTACCCAGCCCTGGTATTCCATTCATTTATAAGCAACCGTAAACCATCAGGAAACTCCCCTTTCCCCAGCCTGCAAACTCCTGGAATTCAAGATTCCTATACATGGCTTCCCATGTACTTTTCCAGCCTCATCTCTTACTTCTCTTAAGCATACAGTCTTCCTTCAAACCAGCAGCTAAGACTACTGCAAAGACTCCTAATTTACAACCCCATTTCTAGCCTTGCCTCTCTCCAACATATTTTCCACACAGCAGCCAGAATGATATTTTAAAAATTCAAATCTGATCATGTCATTCTCCAGCTTAAAACTTTTATGGCTGGGACTTCCCTGGTGGCCAGTGGTTAAGACTCTGTACTTCCACTGCAGGGGGCACAAGTTCAATCTCTGGTCAGGGAACTAAGATCCCAGATGCCAAATAAAAACGACAACAAAACAAACAAAAAACCCTTTCATGGCTCCCTCTTCCTTTTAGAGAAAAAGTCCATAATCCCATATGGCCTGTAAAACCTTCCTTATCTGGTTAGACGGTAAAGAACCCTCCTTGCAGGCGGAAGACCTGGCTTTGATCCCTGGGTTGGCAAGATGCCACTCCAGTATTCTTGCCTGGAGACTCCCCATGGACAGAGGAACCTAGCAACCTACAGTCAATGGGGTCACAAAGAGTTGGACATGACTGAGCAACTAAGCACAGCACAACCTTCTTCTGTAGCCTCACTCTCCCATCCCCAACCCCATGCCACCAGTTTTCATTCCTATTCAGTTTTCAGGTCTTAGCTTAAATTTCACTTCCTCAGCACTAGATCTTCTAACTATAAGACTTCATGGCATCTTGTATTTTTCTTCTGTAGCACTTATCACAACCATAAATAGTTGACAGTTATCTCCCTCACTACACTGCAAGTTCCATGGGGACTTGTGCACTTCAGAGTGCCTGGCATTTGGTAGACAATATCTGCTGAATGAAAGGAACAATCCTTCAAAGATCAACTCCCACATCCTACAACTACCACTGAGCTCTCCTTTTCTCAATTTCTAACACAATTTAGCATTTTATTACAGAATCTTTTTTCATTCAAATTCATATACATCTGAGCATTGGATAAGATGTCTGGAAGGTCTCCTTTCTTTTCCCCAGTCTAATACTAACTTTGTGTTCCTAAGCAAGCCCTATTTCCTAGACAAGGCCCACTTCTTTGGTATCATGAGGTTACCTGTCCTACTCTCTTTGATGGGGGCAAAATAAGAAAGCAATTGTAAATAACACACATTTTAACTAGAAAGGGTGCAGTAAGTGCTCATATAAGAAGTGTGGGTTTTTTTCCTTTCTTAGGAAGTAGCATAGAGCAGGCTCAAAGTGCAGGTACTGGGGTCAGACTGCCTGGGTCTAAATACTAACTACACCACTTACTACCTAAAGGACCTACAGAAGTCAGTACCTTAATTTCTCTGCACCTCGGTTTCCTCAAAGATAAAAGAAAAACAGTATTATTATCCACCTCAGAGGACTGTTGACAGAACAAAAGGAGGTAAGGCCCAGCATGTATAAGCACTTAGTAAATATTAGCAATATTAGGATTCCTATTAAACAGGACAAGAGCTTCATCTCTTCCTGTATACTTCTGGCAGACACTCAGCACAGCGCCAGCCATGCTCCAGATCCTACCTGGCAGGAGGGAAACGGCTGACATCCCCTCTGGTGAAAGTAAAACAACGAAGATTTGGACTGCAAGCCCAGGACGCAGGGGATGGAGCAACAGTTTGGCTATTCTCAGGCTCTGGTTCCCTGTGGAAGATAGCTTCATTCACAAAGTCCCTGGCCTTCAGCTGCTTCAGCTCAGCACTCACATGATCCCCAGAAGCGAAGTTATTGACCAGTGCACCATACTTCTGCTCTGAGAGGAGACTGACCCGGATCGATGGCCAGAGATCTCCAAATTGCACACTGTAGGTCATGTCAAAATTCTGCAGAGCCAGTCGAGTAGCAGGAAATTTGGGCTCTGTGGAAGCCTGGAAGAAAGACAACAGGCTTATAGGTCTTCCAGGCCTCTATCCCCTTACTGCCTGAGCCCACCACCACCTTGGAGTGCTGGGGCAAATATGGATCCAGCTAGTGCCCACCCCTGCCTTCGCATCGTGCCTCTGCCTGCCAGAGAAAAAGTGTATGAGAGAAAAGTAGTGGGAAACTGGCCTTTCTAACTCAAGTGCTGTGAAAGTAAACTCTAGCTCTCACAATAGCATGTGGGTGTCACCAAAAATGAGGGCACTCCTTGAGACCTAGGAGAGGACTCTTGAGGTAAGTCTATAGAAGGTTGGTAGCAACTATAGAGGCCCTGGGCAAAGAACAGATTTAAAGATGGAAGACATTTTTTTCTTTCTGAATAGTCCTTCCATTTTCTAAAGTACTTTCACATCTCCTAGTTTAGATGAGCACCATAAGAGACAGCACAGTGGGATACAAAAAATATGAACCTTCTACATTTGGTGGAGAAGAGAGGGTAACTTACCTAAAGGTCATGCAGTGACTGACACCACAATGCTCAGTATCACAGGGCTGAGGGTCATTTGGGGAAAGTTCCCAGATTCCAGGAAGGTGGGATGAGAAGAGCTCATAGAAACCTTGAAGTGTGAATCAAAGTGGGGACGTACAGAATGACTGCTATGGCGGTAACAGAGAGGGGCGTGAGTCAGGCTTGAGGAGTACAGAAATAGGTCGAAAGAGAAAAGCTGAGGAGTCCACAAGTTGGCCCTGACTGCCACAGCTGGGATGCTTACTATGGCTGGCAGCCCTGTTACTGTCTATGAATTTTGGGTTGGCTTCGATTTTCGGATTGCTTGGAACTCCTTCTCTGCCCTCATTTCTTGTTATGGTGGGGGCTCTTGCTGCGACCATGACCTCTGCTATGGTGGGGACTCTTGCTCTGTCTCAAACCTTTGCCACGGTGGGGACTCTTGCTCTGGCTCCTGCTCTGGCCCTGCCTTCTGCCACGGTGAGGACTCTTGCTTTGGCTCCGACTTCTGTTACGAAGGGCACTCTTGATCGGGCCCTGACTTTTGCTAGGTTGGGTACTTTCACTCTGGCCCTGATCTTCAAGACGTGGAGGACTCTCTTCCTGGTTTTTATTTGTGCTTTCTTGTGTACTACTGCTCCCACTCCGACTTCTGCTAAGATGGAAAGTCTTTCTTTGAGTCCAAGTTGTGCTAGGGTCATGGGCACTCTCACTCTGGCTCCAACTTGTGCTTTGGTGGGCGTTGTTGCTGTCACTACACTGGCATTCACTAATAACCAAAGTTGAACTACAGCTGGCATTAGTACTACAGCTGGAACTCTTGGCTGAAGGCACAGGACAGCTGTAGGGAATCTGGGAGGACTCCTTGTGGGAGTCTCGAGAAGCCATGGAGTAGACGTGGAGGCCACATGGCATAGCATCAAGGTGACCCCGGGCTCTGGGGGCAATGGGTAAATTTTGGGGGTCAAAGGGTGTTCTCAAAGGGATAAAAGAATAGATGTGGGTAGAACAAGGAGGCACCACAGGCTGGCGATGAGGTTGGAGTGGGCCCCGGGGAGTGCTATAGGGGCCACCAGGGGGCACCACAGGCTGGTTATGACACTGAAGGGGACCTGTGCATTGACTGAGGGGACCAGAGACTAGGCCAGGATTGGGGGTGGGGGGAACCATGGAATATACATGGGTACTGCAGGGGGGTCCTATGATGGGTCCTCGGGGGCCGGCCTGAACATAACTACTGGGTAAGACAGGATCACAAGGAAGGCGAAGGGGAAGGGAAGCAGGGATAACTGTTTTGAGGGTTCTGGGAACCACAGCGGGTGCAGTAGTTCCTTGGGGAAGTTCTTTGGGGCAGGAATTTGAGCAAGTTGTGATGGTTGTCACCATACAAGAAGGACCAGAGACGCCAGAAGAGTGGGAGGGAGGTGGAGGAGAGGAGCTGGGCTTGGGGGCCCTGGGCTGGTCAGGAGAGTGCTGGGTGACCAGGGAGTGACATCTGTGGGGAGAACGTGGTTGTTTTACCTCTGAGGATTTGGGAGACTTTGCTCGGGGACAAACAGGCACAGGGAGAGGGGATTCCTTACAGCTTCTGCAGGGGGGTGACTGGGGTGGATTTATAAACTGGTTGCCTGGAGGTGAAGGGAAGAAGGCAGAACAAGGACAGTGGGAGGACAGGGGAAGAGGTGGTTCCTGGGGACAGGGGGGGCCAGAAATCATAGCACCTGGGGTTATTCGGAAATAAGAGCTACCACCAGTCTCCCAGGAATAAATGGACTCAAAGCAAGGCTTCCTGGAATCCTGTAACTGGGAGTTGCCAGGACTCCCAGGGGATAGGTGGATGGCATAGTAAGGGTTCCCAGGGGCAGGTATGTGAGACTCTGGGGGAAGATGGGAATAGTGATAAGAGCCCTCCTGAGGTGAGCTGGGAGAACTAGATGTGCCTGGCTGAGAGGAAAGTGGGGAGCCACAGTAATTTTTCCCAAAAGTCGGGTCAAGCTGTGGTTTAGGTTCATGAGAGTCTAGATGCTTAACATGGCCATGGTAAAAGCTGTCAGTGGGTGGGGAAGATGCTGAGGAAAGAGGAGGATCATTGTAACTTCTCCCTGAGGACCAGGAAGAGAGCAGAGTAGAGGTCATGGCCCCAGTACCCAAAACCCTCTGAGGAGGTGGAGAAATTATAGGTCTAGTTTCCACATGCCGATGGGCAAGGGGAGGTGAAATTACAAGCCCAGTTCCCAGGGACCTATGAGTAAGAGGAGGTGAAATCGCGGGGCCAGTTTCCAAAGGCACATGAGTGAGGGGAGGGGAGGTCACCGGGTTGGTTACCAAGGCTGGAGGGTATCCACCATAGTAACAGAGGTAACTCTGCTGGTCTATGTAAGGGCCTCGGGGACAGAGACGTGGTGTTCTCGGAGGACTGATCCAGCTGCAATGAGCGCTCCGCTGACGGGCAGGCGGTGACCCCACAAGGCGGAACCGCTCAACACAAGGACTTGGAGGGGACGAACCCAACAGGATAGGCTCCCGGCAGGAGGGCCTTCCTAGATGTGGAGAACAGGGTTCAAAACAACACCCCCCTGGGCGCAGAAGAGCCTGCGGGGTTGGGGAGGAGGGCGGTGGCGGCGGGGAAAGAATTGGTCGGGGTAGGGAGGAGGGCTGGCCGGCTAGGGAAGAAATTCCAGGGCTACAAGAGAGGCCAGAGAAAGGAGCTCTGGACAAGTGGGGTGAGCCCATAAGGTGGGAGGAGTCGCTGCACCTTTTGCCTGGTTGTGGGGAAAGGTCTGGAGGGTGGTCGCTATAACCTTTCCTGGGAGCCAGAGGCAGCTCGAGGGTGAGGAATGGGGTTGAATCCTTTCCCGGAGGGCAGCGGAGACCCGGGAGGGAAGGGTAAGTCGCTACGTTACTTTCCGAGCGGAGAGGATGGCGGGGCAGGAAGGTCTAGGAGGAAAGGAAGAGAAGAGATCCTGGGGGGGGGGGGGGGGGGCGGGGGGGGGGGCGAAAAGGGGAGGGAGGGGGAAAGGGAGGAAGGGAAGTGGAAAGGTTAGTGGGGGTCCAGGGAAGGTAACCAAGTGCCGGGAAACAAGAGGCGTGACAGAACTGAAAGAATGAGGGCGGAGGTGATGACGTAACTTAGGGGGGCGGAGTCTGGAGTCCGCAGACCTAACTAGAGGGGCAGCCGAAGACTTGTGACGAAATAAGAAGGCGGATAGAGGCGAACACTAAAGAGGTGAGAAGGAGGCACCCAGTCACGCCGCCTGAAGGGTGGGGGAAAGGTGACCCAAAGCGTTCCAGAGGCGCTGGAGTAGGGAACCTAACTGAGGGTGCGAGATGTGACAGGGCTGGAGAAGTTTCCCGAGGGGCGGCGGTAAAAGGCTGCTGTCACTGGACCTTACCCATTTCTTCTTATGTCGTTGTCTCCGCGGGACCGTCGCAAAGTCCGCACGCTTCAGCATGTCCCGAACACCTCTCACTACGAGCGCAGCCATGTCGGCGTGCTCCGCTTTGTAATTCCGACCGGAACCGCAAAAGCAGACGCTCAGGTTCCGGAGAGGTGGTGTGCCCCACTGTGGACGAAAAGGGGAAAGAGTTACGGCTGACTCTCTCCTGGGGCTCCGCCCTCCGATACGAAGCGAGTGCAAACCCCGCCCAGCTAGGGATCTGTTGTTGTTGTTGTTTTTAGTCACTCAGTTGTGTCCGACTCTTTGCGACCCTCTAAACTGTAGGCATCTGGTCCCATCACTTCATGGGAAATAGATGGGGAAACAGTGGAAACTGTTAGAATTTATTTTGGGGGGCTCCAAAATCACTGCAGACGGTGATTGCAGCCATGAAATTAAAAGACACTTACTCCTTGGAAGGAAAGTTATGACCAACCTAGACAGCATATTAAAAAGCAGAGACATTACTTTGCCAACAAAGGTCCCTCTAGTCAAGGCTATGGTTTTTCCAGTGGTCATGTATGGATGTGAGTTGGACTGTGAAGAAAGCTAAGTGCTGAAAAATCGATGCTTTTGAACTGTGGTGTTGGAGAAGATTCTTGAGACTCCCTTGGACTGCAGGGAGATCCAATCAGTCCATCCGAAAGGAGATCAGTCCTGGGTGTTCACTGGAAGGACTGATGCTGAAGCAGAAACTTCAATCCTTTGGCCACCTGATGCGAAGAACTGACTCATTTGAAAAGACCCTGATGCTGGGAAAGATTGAAGGCAGGAGGAGAAGGGGATGACAGAGGATGAGATGGTTGGATGGCATCACCGACTCGATGGACATGGGTTTGGGTAGACTCCGGGAGTTGGTGATGAACAGGGAGGCCTGGCGTGCTGTGATTCATGGGATCGCAAAGAGTCGGAAACGACTGAGTGACTGAACTGACTGAAACTGTAGCCCACCAGGCAACTCAGTCCATAAGAATCTCCAGGCCAGAATACTGGAGTGGGTTGCCATTTCCTTCTCCAGGGATCTTTTGAGGGTCTGAAAAAGAGCAATCATTCGCAGAGAATGGTGGCTCCCTCTGAATGCTTGTAGCTTTAGGAAAGGCTCTAAATTCCCCTAACCCAGTTGAGGGATCAAGGAGGACTGCGAACTGAAGAGTTCAGTTCAGTTCAGTTGCTCAGTCGTGTCCGACTCTTTGTGACCCATGAGTCGCAGAATGCCAGGCCTCCCTGTCCATCACCAACTCTCGGAGATTACTCAAACTCATGTCCATTGAGTCGGTGATGCCATCCAGCCATCTCATCCTCTGTCATCTCTTCCTCCTCCTGCCCCCAATCCCTCCCAGCATCAGGGTCTTTTCCAATGAGTCAACTCTTCACATGAGGTGGCCAAAGTATTGGAGTTTCAGCTTCAGCATCAGTTCTTCCAATGAACACCCAGGACTGATCTCCTTTCGGATGGACTGGTTGGATCTCCTTGCAGTCCAAGGGAGTCTCAAGAGTCCACCAACACCACAGTTCAAAAGCATCAATTTTTCAGCGCTCAGCTTTCTTCACAGTCCAACTCACATCCATACATGACCACTAGAAAAACCATAGCCTTGACTAGAGGGACCTTTGTTGGCAAAGTGATGTCTCTGCTTTTTAATATGCTGTCTAGGTTGGTCATAACTTTCCTTCCAAGAAGTAAGTGTCTTTTAATTTCATGGCTGCAGTCACCATCTGCAGTGATTTTGGAGCCCAAAAAAACAAAGTCTGACACTGCTTTCACTGTTTCCCCATCTATTTCCCATGAAGTAGTTAGGTAGGCAAAATGAGGCAAGAAGAGCCTTCTAGGCAGAACTTGTATGGAGAGAGATCCAGAGATAGTGAAAAACGAGGCTACTGAGGAGGTTTTTCAATGAAGCTGAGGTTTCAGGACATGTCATTTGTACTCCCCCGTTCAAGGCACATACCTAATTTTTGTATTTTTCTAAAAAGACAGTCTCCCGAATTTTGTAAGCTTCAGGCCACATTACTTTTCTGACAAAGGTCCGTCTAGTTAAAGCTATGGTTTTCCCAGTAGTCATGTATGGATGTGAGAGTTGGACTATAAAGAAAGCTGAGCGCCAAAGAATTGATGCTTTTGAACTGTGGTGCTGGAGAAGACTCTTGAGAGTCCCTTGGACTGCAAGGGGATCCAACCAGTCCATCCTAAAAGAAATCAGTCCTGAATATTCATTGGAAGGACTGATGCTGAAGCTGAAACTTCAGTACTTTGACCACCTGATGCAAAGAACTGACTCCTTGGAAAAGACCCTGATGCTGGGAAAGATGGAAGGCAGGAGGGGAAGGGGACAACAGGGGATGAGATGGTTGTATGGCATCACGGATTTGATGTACATAAGTTTGAGCAAGCTCTGGGAGTTGATGATGGACGGGGAAGCCTGGTGTGCGTCCATGGGGCCGCAAAGAGTCTGACACGACTGAGCCACTGAACTGAGACCCTGCAGAACTTGACTTCACCATAGGAGCCAGTGAAAAGGAGGGACATGATCAGATAATTGTTTTTTAAAATGATCATCTGATAGCCAATGATCACTGTAGATGGGAGGAAGGTAGAGAGATCAGATGAGAGAAGATCATGGTCTGGATTGTGTTGTGGCTGTGAAGATGGAGAGAAGAGGATGAATTCCGCTTACAGAGGAGAGAGAAGTACAGAACTTGTTGACTGGCCTTATCTATAATAGTACAGATGACACCACCAGTTAATAGCTGTCCTCTTACCCTGGTGTTATTCTTATGACTTGTCACCTGATATGTATTTATTTTCTTATAGTCTGCTAAATAATTTTCAAAAGGTTAAAAACATAACTTATAAAATTATAAAATGAACACATGCCAAAGACTTTATTCATCATCATAAACTGCTTAACCATTATTATCCTAAATAATGAGGGAACCAGTGAGATGGTAAGACTTGTTCAAATAAAAATTTGAGTTTCAGAGATTTGGATTATCAGCCAGACGAATGCTGAAATGAATTTGCTAATAGTTGCAGAAACACTAATATCCTATTAAGCAATAAACTGTACTGTTAAAGATTATCTCTTTTACCAGAGGGAATTAATTTCCATCTCTAGTGGACAAAAATTCATTTGCATTTCTATGGATAAGAATTATTTGCATTGCTTGCAGACAAGATTTGCATTGCCATCAGTTTTTTACAAGTTAACCTCTATTGATACAAAGTTGTAAGATTACCTAGTAATGTGAAGTCAATTAAAGGTATGCATGCATGCTAAGTTGCTTCAGTCATGTCCAACTCTTTGTGAACCTATGGACCTGTAGCCTGCCAAGTTCCTCTGTCCATGGGATTCTCCAGGCAAGAATATTGGAGTGGTTTGCCATGCCTTTCTCCAGGAGGTCTCAAGCCATGGATTGAACCCACATCTCTTATGTCTCCTCCATTGGCAGGTGGGTTCTTTTCCACTAGCGCAACCTGGAAAGTCCCTTAATCAAAGTTATACCCCAGCACTACAATAAAATATCACCCAATAATCTTCTGGGATTTACAAGCCCATTTACAAGCTCTGGACAATTTTTCTGGATGTCTCCTGTTATTAGGATATGTATTTTTAAAAGCAAGGATTTTGTTTAATTCATTGTTGAATTATCAGCCCCTAGTACTGTATATGGTACATAGTTAGCTCTCAAATATTTATTGAATGAGTGAGTGAAAAATGAGAAAGCAGAGATGTGAGCGTAAACAGTTTCCCCAAGAAGTTTGTTACAGGGACCTAGCAGTCATAAAGTAGAGGGAGGTATATGTATAGAGAAAGACCTTTTTTTTTAAAAGCTCATAGTAATACCCTATATGGGAAAAGAGTCTGCAAAATAATGAATATATGTATATGTGTAACTGAATCACTTTGCTGTATACCTTACACCAAATATGGAGTGTCAGGACCACAGCCACAATCTCCCTGGGAAGGGACCCTTCCCACTCCAAACCTCAGTTTACCCATCTAGAAATTGGGGGAACAAGGGGAGAGGGTTGCACTAGATCAGTAATTCTCAAACATTTTGGTCTTGGGACCCCTTTAAAATCTTAATGATTGTGTTAAGTAAAGGTTATTTCCATCCAAAAAAAAAATCTTAATGATTATTGAGAATTATTGAGATTTTGTTTACTTTATCAATATTTGCAAGCTTAGAAATTAAAACAAATTTTTAAAAATATTCATTAAAAATAATAATAAGCCCATTACATGCTACCATAATTATTTATATGAAAAATAACTATATTTTCCTAAAAGAAGTTTAGTCAAAAGATTGGCATTGTTTTAAAAATCTCTTGCAAAGGGACTTCCCTGGTGGTCTGGTGGCTAAGACTCTGCGTTTGCAGTCCAAGGGGCCCAGGTTTGATCCCTGGTCAGGAATCTAGATCCCACATGCTGCAACTAAGACCCAGTGCAGCCAAATAAAATAAATTTTTTAAATATATTAAAAAACAAGTCTCTTGCAAATTAATGTCTGGCTTAGTAAAGCTGGATTCTTAGATATTCTTCCTCAGTTCAGTTCAGTTCAGTCACTCAGTCATGTCCAACTCTTTGCAACCCCATGGACTGCAGCATACCAGGCCTCCGTGTCCATCACCAACTCCCGGAGTTTACTCAAACTCATGCCCATTGAGTCGATGCCATCCAACCATCTCATCCTCTGCCACCCCCTTCTCCTCCAGCCTTCAGTCTTTCCCAGCATCAGGGTCTTTTCAAATGAGTCAGCTCTTCACATCAGGTGGCCAAAATTCTTCCTCGGTGTGTTGTAATATGTTGTTTTAATTGAAGTATACATAAAAAAATCCAGTCTCACACAAATATATAGTTAGAAAAGAGGTATATTTTTATAGCCTTCAAGATAACTATGAATATTCTTTGATACTGCACCAAAATGTGACAAGTGGTAGTTTCCTTTAAGGCAGTAGCAATGTGAAATCTGAAACCATATCAAGAACTTTTCATAGTCTGTTTGTTACATTAAAATCTGTTCAGTTCAGTTCAGTCACTCAGTCG